TTCATTATTTTTATCTAGGTCTGAAGCACCAAAAATCAGCCTTACTACAGCTTCTTGCCAAATTTCATAGTTTTGATTCTTGATTCGAATAGGTGTTTTTAATATAGAAGGGTAACCAGCTCATGAACAATATCTATTTCAATAACCATTTTCATTGGATTGCCATCTATCAAACAAGCAATGTTAGTTTACGTCATGCTCATTGCTGTTTTGTGTAGTCATTGTTTTGTTCTTGAATCACTCCTCCTCCTCCCCACCATCTTCTCTTTAAAAAGTCTTCCATGCACTACTAAAGCCAAATGGAATTCTGTCACAATCAACCAAATATTTTAATATATCCTACGTATTTTTGTTTTAATATCATGTCTGTTTTGATAATCAGGTTTATTTTTTAAAATCAAAAATGACCAGTAGCAGCCTTTAAGCAAACCATAATTGGGGTCCAGTTGAAGATTGATGTTATGGCTCAAATGATGTTTGGCAGTGCGTTAAGTGAAATTCCAGATTTTTTTTGATGTTCTCAAAGCTATTTGTTTGAATACCAGCCTTCCACTCACTGCCAGATAGTTGTCCTAGTTTTAAAAAACTGAAGTTCATGCTTGGATGAGTAATTTAAATATGTGACATTTACAATTGCTTCTCCTTTTTCAGTTTGCTACACAAGTGCTATAGTTTATAATGTGATAGCACTAAGCCAACGTTTTGTGTGAATGTAATAGTGCAGATACAAAAATCAACAAACTGTTATACATCTGCAAAAGTGCAAAAAAGGTGGAAATGTGCTGTTTGGAAAATATTGGTAATTGAAGATTCTTCAGTGAGGAAAATAAGGGTGACTTGTCCCTAACATCAGCCTTTTTATTCTTGCTCTCTCTTTCTTTCTCTCTATCGCACTTGCTCCCACATTTTCTATCTCTCTACATCCCCTTCATGTGATCTCTCTATCGCATTTGCTCTCATTTTCTGTTCCCCCCGCCAACCACAATGTTCGTTCCCACACAAACACGCACACACTGAAAAGAACATGGGAATCCTTTTTAATAATTAAGCAATCAAGTTAGTGCAAATATTTATAAAACTTGTTGGGTTTATTGTGTTTGATTCTGGTCACACACTGCAGGAAGGTATTGTGATTGAAATAATGTTAGCCAGGTGGATCTCTTAGAATAATCCCCTGATTTGGCCCAATTTGACATCCCCAATCAGGGAACCCCTGGCTGACAGATATAAATGGGAGTGTAAGGTATTCTGCTCACTCTAGGCGCCAGCTCTGTGGTGGCTGGGTCAGTGTCATGTCCTATGCACATATAAATAAAGCGTGACTCGGTGATGGGATACTGCCCTTTATGGAGATAATTCAGTGGCAATGAGAGTGGGATTAATGATATGACCATGCAGAAACTCCTACTAGCTGAAGCCTAACTGGACTTCAGACAGACACTACAATTGCCTTTGTCGTTAGAAAATTTGGCAAGTAGAGCTTATGAGTTACAGGGTAGCCGATGAAAGTGGACACTCTTGCCAGGTCAACTGAGCTTGGGGAACACCACTTGAGTGAAGGCGATTGCGTAGCTTCACTCAGGACATATCCTGATCTGAGGGGCGTAGGTCACCCAACAGCCAAAACGCCAAAACAAAACCAAGCCTCGGCCAAACGATTAAAATTTTCCTGAGGATCCAAGCTAGCAGACCATGTAGTTGCTGCTAGTATGCGGACTTGAGTCAGCAAGAGACCCACTAGGCCTGAATTGAGTAAGAACTCATTGGCCAGTATCCAGGAGAGTGTACACCTGGAAAAACTGCCTACAGCTAGTTTGGAACATCCAAATCAGAACCAATCAAGACAAATGTCTGATTAGATGGTCAGCCAGTTCTAATGGAGGTCAATCTCAGCACCGCTGTATCAGTGATTGCAGAACCAGTCTTTACCAAAATTTACTCTGGACTCCAACCTTTAGGTTAGCGTAAGACCTTTGGCCAGGCTGAGAACCTATACCAGGGAACCATTATAGATAGAGGGAACAACTTTAAATCCAGTCTCTAATGAGAAACTGCCGTTTCAGTTACCGTTGATTGAAATAAAAGGCATGGACCCAAGACTGATGGGGTGAAATTAGTTGAGAAAGATTCAACTTGATTGCCTCAACATTTTTTATTAGAAAATGGCTACCTGAGTGAAGTCCTAACTAAATACACTGCTTTTCAGGGAGGTCCAAGGGCTATCAAAGGGGCCAAAGCCACTCTATATGTTGACCAAGAAGCAATTTCATGATTCTGCAAGGGTGTGCAAAAGTGGAAGCAGGAATCAGGAGGCTGGAAAGCGAAGGAATTATCAAACCAGTACAGTTTGTGAGATGGGCAGCACCGGCTGTACTGATTGTGAAACCCGAAGGGTTGGTTTGCCTTTGCGGGATTTGAAACAAATGGTGAGCTGTTTTCACAGCTGGATAAATAGTCAATCCCTTGCAATAGAGGACTTGTATGCAAAACTGGTGGGGAGCTGTCCTCCACAAAGCTGGACATGAGCCTTTCGTACTTGCAGTTGCGATTCGATGAGGATTCCCAGAGGTATGCTACAGTTAATACCCATAAGGGTTTGTACAAGACTGCCTTTTGGGGTATCATCAGCCTGTGTCATTTTCCAGCAGAGGTGGGAAAACATTTTACAAGGTCTACTCCAGGTTGCCATTGATCTACATGATGTGCTAATAATGGAGAAGACCAATAAAGAGTATTTAGAGAACTTGGTGCCTAAACATTTCTTCAAGGCGGCGGTATACCTTATAAGGGAAGAATGTGTGTTCCAAGACCTCAAGTGACCTAACTGGGCTACAGAGACAACAGGACCGGTTACACCTGTTGGAAGATAAAGTGAGAGCGATCAAATGTACCCCAGCTCCCATGTCTGTACTGGAGCTTAGGTCCTCCCTTGGGTTGGTGAATTATTATGGGAAGTTAATACGTAACCTGGTCCCCATTGAGGAACCCTGACATTTGCTATTGTAAAAGGGTTAGCCTTGGAAATGGTCTCGTAGCCAAGATGTAGCCATCAGGGAAATGGAGAAGCAGCAATCATCATCTAAGGTGTTGGCACACATGATCCAAAGTGAGATGTGGTGATGACATGCAATCCCTCCCTGTACGTTATCAGGGTGGTGTTGGATCACAGATGCCCAATGGAGAGGAACGGCCAACGGTGTATGCTTCCTGGACTTCAGCTGATGCTGAACGAAGATGCACTCAGACAGAGAATGAAGGTTTGGCAGTCAAATTTGGTGTGAGAAAGTTCCACCAATACCTTTCTGGACATAAATTTGTAATTGTAACAGACCACAACCCCTGCTACGGCTACTCAAAGAGGACAAGGTCGTGCTAGCCATAGCTTCAGGTCAAATTCGGCAGTGGGCTGTCATTGTAAGTGCGTATAATTACAAGGTGGAACACCGTTTGGAAAGCCAAGTAGCAAATGCGGATGCCATGAGCTGTCTCCTGCTGGCAGATAGACCACTGATGATGCCTCCACTGGAAGATTCCCTTCTGGTTTTAAACTTTATGGATGCCCAGGGTGACAGATATAAACAGGAGTGTTAGGGATTCTGCTCACTGTAAGAGCCAGCTCTATCCTAGTTGGGTCAGTGATGTGTACTATGCATATGTTTTTAAAAAAGAAAAGATGACTTGGTGACAGGATGCTGGCCTTCATGAAATTATTTCAGAAGGATCTTAAGGTTTAGTAAAATCCTACCCTGGTTGGACATTGCAATTATGTGGAAAGTCTAGAATTGTTCTTCTCAGAGCAGAGAAGTTGAGTTGATTTGGTAGTGATATGAGAAATCAACTCAATAGTTTTGAAGTTGTTGGAAGAAGAAATTGTTTGTAGTGCAGTGCCAATAACCAGAGGGGACAGATTTCAGATGATTGGCAAAAAAAGAGGTGACGTAAACATTTTCATAGACAGCAAGCTACGAACAGAAGTGTACTAATCAAAAGCCTGATGGAAGGGATTCAGATAGACTTAAAAAGGAGAATCTTGCATGGCTAGAGGCAAGGAACAGGTATGTGGGATTAATTATTTGTTTCAAAGAACCAAATAGGCACCATTTGAACGCTCTAAGATGCAATGGTCATGATATTAATGCTCCTACCTGGTGGAAGTCTACCAAATGACAGTCGAAATGAAAGAAACTACTTTTGCTCCCCTGAAATACTACTAATTTGTCCCAATGTTAACCTCTTGTTTAAGCAGGAAGCTCTGTCATCTTTTTAAATACGTAGACCAGGATCCAAAGTACTATTTGAGTGTGAGGCCTGAATGGTGAATCAGTGGGTTTCTCATCAGGCCAGAACTTGGCACACGGGTGCTGGTGTGTCAGAAAAGTA